CCATATGCCCTTAACTTGATTGATTGCATTTCTTCGAACATTATTTTACTTACCGGTGCTGAATTGCTATCTGTGAATGTGTGCACACCGGCGACAAAGACATAGTCTGTCTCCTCCTTGGTCGAATTCTGAGGCCAGGTGACCATAGACGCAGCCACCGATTTTACCAGTCTCGCCTGTGAGTTGTCTGTCTTATATGTAATCAACTCATTATCATCAAAATCGACCATCAACGTAGATTTTATTTCGGTGTAGTTCAAGGCGTTTGCCGGGGCCAAACACTCGATAAGGATGAGCAGCAACTCAAACATGATGGCACATCTATTGGCAGTCCTGAACCAACCCATAATGTACAACCTTAGTCGTATTCTGCTACTTTCATATCACCGCTATTGCGCGTTATAGTACGTTGGAACGATTGGCTTGCCCTGACAGGTAAGGTACCCATGGTTTCGATATTGTCAACCAACAATGAACAATGCATGTCGAAGGAGATCGACTTTGCGCATAGTTTACATTAATACCTCTTGTTTCTCAACCCTGGTTGGACAGCTGAGGTATTCCTGGTCAAAAACTCTGAAACCCAGACGGTACCCAATTAAATTGCGTTTTACTTCATGTGCAAAAAAAGAAGGAAAAAAATAGTGCGCTCTGGAAGGTTGTGTACTCCGATTTTAGATTTTTATCAAGCAGGAACCGGCTCTTTCATAGCCATACAAGAAGGCAATGGTTCTTAATTTAAAGCAGTAAAACCCCCTCATGTTATATATATAAAAACAGCAGACAAGTGACACTCAAACAGTGCAAAAACTGCAGACTCGAGACTGCTAGTGCAGACCTGCAGACTGCAAGAGCAGTGTAAACTCTACTACTAGTAGTAACCAAGTTAAAGGCTCATACAACTTCCTACTGATTACAGTCAGTGCTGCATGTCATTTAAACGCCATAGCAGTATTTTCTCGTGATACTTCAGGTAGTATTATAATATGGTGATACTGTTAGTAATTTTGTATCGCGATAGAATTCGAGGGAAGCGCACTCAATTTCAGCTTGAACTGTATACATATATAAAGCAATTAAGCAACCACGATTTCTCTATACTTTGTGATTACTATCATTCGATTGCACTGACGTAGTGTGACTGCTATCATTCGTTTACTGCAACATAGTGGTATTCAAGTACATAGCTTTCATGCATTCATATCCCATGAATTATGCAAAATGTCCCTAATCGCTTATTCGGGTGTAGAGGACGTGCATATTATTTTGACACCACTTTTCCTTTAGCGAGAGTTTATTCGAAAAAGAACGAATTAATACTGGCCTGAGGCCCTTCCTCTGAATATACCTGGTGATGCCTTACCTGATAAGATGTCGAAATTTAAACCGATGCATATTATATATAATGACGCAAACCAGATAAAACTCAAAAATTCTTGATATTAAATACTCGTCAGATCGGCGTTCATAACCACATTAGGCAATGATATGCTATCACCTGCGAGATGCTATCCCCTGCAAATAAACTATAAAAGGTGTATCCTCATAAAGAGATTGTGTATATTGCAAGACAGATGATGAAGCACGCGTGTGCGACATGCCAAGGCGGTGATCACGAGACCATCAAGAGCCAATTCGACTACCGTGTACTATAGTATATACTGGTGGAGACCGTTATAAAGGAGAGAACTTGCGATTTTTATGTGGATATTAAACTAACCGTTGTCTTTAATTTCAAGGACACCAGATCATCGACTTTTTTTTTGATCTCATCCGCAACCACCATTTGTATCCGTATTTTTTAAACCACCCCGTCCATACCCTTAATAATTTGAAATTGCGATAATAAGTACCCCCCCCCCCCCCCCCCCCGGTTACGATTTTGTGATCCAAAGCTAGTATACACTATCCCTACCTTCAGACAATACACTGAATGGAAAAACGTCGGCATATAAGTGGATAGTGGTGAGACTGTTAAATGTGTATCTGTAGAACTTATGAGATATTTAGTAGGCAATCACACGCTATCAGACTCTTAGAGACTCTAGAGAGAGAGTCGTATTTAGTTACTCTGCCCATCAACGGCCAGAGCCTTCTTCTAAATCAGACAGGCCCGCAAAGGGCATATTAGCCATCAGGCATCAAGTCATCAAGTGACACCAACCCAACCTACCCAGGTCCCAGGAGAGATAATATGTATATATATATATTTTTAAATACAGAACAATTAAAGACGTCAAATTACAACAGTTGTGTCGTCAATCTCTTGGGAATAATCAATAATCATTCTCATTGGACATAGATCGGCTGTATTTATAAATATGTGTATTTGTGCAAGGCCCACTGGATTTAGATTTTAGGGTCTCGCTACTAGTCCTCTACAACTATTTACTACTACTACTTTTAGTACATAGCTTTTACAACAAATCGTAAATTTATGGCGAGTCTGAGCGAGACCCAATCCAGAGCCTTCAGAGAGTCAGCGGGCCGTGATTTGTGACTTGATATGCGACCGCAATCTGCATTTGGAAATAGCGGCGCCATCAAAAGGAAAACGGGATAGGATCTTCGCGGCTAAGATTTGTTGTTGGTTAGACTTTGAAGCCATGAATTTGCCTCTTTTTATGCCTCTGAGTCGGTGGAGTGTGGAGGACTCTTTGCGCCTTGTTTCAAGTTTTGAAGAAGGAAAACTTCACACACTACTAGACAAGAGAGAAGTCTCTAATAAAAGCGGAAAAGCCTTAACTCCCCTCTTCTTGGCCCGCCTCGGTCTCGCTGGTCTCGCCAGTCGCCGCTTATGCGTCACCGTGCAGTGGCGGCAGTGCGGCTGTGACTCCGTGGCTCTGTCTTTGCAGTCTCTGGCTCTCTGCACTCTTCAGTCTTAGACAACAGTGCAGGACTGCAGAGTGCAGTCTGCAGGGACATTTTATTATTATGTCCTATTTTTGTTTTATTTTTTTATATACAAACTATTGTACAAAACAAAAGCTAAACGTATTTTAATCCGTTATTAATTCGATATATATACAAAAACTTTTATAAACATATATGTATAACGTTTCTATTGCCCGTTTTTGGGAGAAAATTATAGTCATCGAAATGGGGGCTCCAGAAAAACAAACAATTCCGGTTTTTCAGCAGTGGAGTTTTCACTTTTCAGTTTACGACATTCTCGGATAAATGGCTTCTAAAGGGCCAAGCGGGTGTGTCGCGGGGTACCTACAATTTCAGACGAGCCGCGACAACTCGATTATATCCCCACAAGCGAAAGAAACAAACACAGAACGTTCGCACAGGTACGAAGGTATGCTTGGGAAACTGTCCCTGTGCTTCAACCTGTGTGTGCGTATGCACTTGTTTGGTCACGCCGTTATGTGTGAGCGTGATCGTAAATATACTCTCATACGCCTCTATCGCATCATATTTATTATGGCGAAATTATATGCCTTTTCAGCGATTCTTTGCACCCATTACTTCTATTACAGTGTGTTGCAAAACGTAAGGCATCGGTGCATTCAGTTGTTATTGTTGGATCTGAAATCTTACATGTATGCGCGTGTTGAGTGTTGTGGCCAGTGTCGTATTATATATTAAAAACAAGCTGATGCTTTTCCAGTCGACATTACTTTGGAATTTGCTTCGCGTAGTTGGAATTTGCTTCGTGTAGTTTGAAAATGGCGCGATGTCTCTAGGTCTGCGTCCTTGACAACTTTAGGTTACAGAAGAATTAAACTATCGTATACACGCATATATATGTATGTATTCATGTATGTATACGTGTATATGTATGTATACGTGTATATGTATGTATTCATGTATGTATATATGTGTGTGTGCGCGTGTGCACGTGTGTTTGTGTATATATTGATACTTGTATATGTATATATATGCACGTGTGTGTGTGTACTTATGTATATACACGCATACATGTATGTATATCAAAACATACATATGTATAGATATTTATATGTGTGTGTGTGTGCTGATGTTCCTTCAGGTATCTCATGTATCTGTATGTAGTATTTTGGTCGATATAAGGCTTCCCTTTCATTTGTACTTGTATATATTATCATGTATATATTATATATGTGTGTGTGCATGTATGTATGTATATGTATATAGATGGATGTATAAGTCTGTGTATTCATATGAAGGCATCCGGCAAATATTTCAATAAATATTGGAATACATCTAAATTAGTATCATGGCCAAAGATATAAGCCAGTTCACCCGCTTTAGCTATCATTCCTTGAGTTTTCGTGCCGGTGAATATTTAACTTGCGGCAATAATGTGCGTTCGTACTGGTTTTGGTTTCTCTTTGTTTACAGCTATTTCGTTATGCAGTGTATAAAATACAGACTATAGAAACACTCCCCCAGCGTGGAAGAGTTTTCGCTCATTTTGACATTAACACCCCGTATTTACCTGTCTTCTTTGCGGTTCACAGTTCGCATACATATATATATATACACAATGGCTTTGAAGAGAATCAGCAAGGAACTCAGAGATCTCGAGAGAGACCCTCCCGCCAACTGCAGTGCAGGGCCCGTGGGTGACGATCTATTTCACTGGCAAGCAACCATTATGGGTCCCCCCGACTCTCCATACCAAGGCGGCGTGTTCTTCTTGAGCACCCACTTCCCCACAGATTACCCATTCAAGCCACCTAAAGTGCAGTTTACCACGCGCATCTACCATCCCAATATTAATAGGTATGCCTGTCGTTCTGAGCGGTTGTGTTCGGGATTACCTTTTTGGGTCTGTAAACCTAGATGCATCTCGTTGTATGCGTACTGGAAGTTACGTCGTCGTTACAGACATACGGTTCTTCTAGAAGAGTTTATTGTTGATTTTGTGCGATTGTATGCCTTTCATGTTTGTCATATCAAGAGTATGTGTATGAGTTCAATAGATCAACTCAATCGAATCGGAACCAAAGTTTTATCGAGTCGTATATCGTTTGGGCTTGTTTTTAGCGCGTTTGATACATTTGGATATAGAGTGCCTCAATAAAGCTTGGGACATATCAAGTAATCTTTAACTGACCTGTCGATAGTTATTATAGTCGCAAGGTGGCAAGATCAAGCTCGCGTCACGCAGTATACGAACCTCAAGATCCGAGATATATACCATAGTGTTTTGTATTTTGTCTTATAAATGGTGTATTTCTGTGTACTAAATTTAGATATAAACCTAAGTACTTTGAAACATTAAATTGGCTTTTGGTGCGCAAATATCCTAGCATGCGTGCCTTGTTCTATTCGGATAGCTAAGTTGGGGAACTGACAATCGTACTTCAAAATCCCGTCATTTGTCACGATCATGGCTCGTATACGTTTACTTCCTACTCTTCTGTGGCTCTACTATGGTATAGTAATTGTGGTCTATTCTTAGGATAAGTGATTCGGCTTGATCATCATCTGCTACGCATCAGGATGTTTTGCAATGGCTTAACTGTCTAGTCCTCATATATTCATGTGTTTTAGTTGAGTTGTATTTGGCAATGGAGTATTCGTCCGATGTTGATTCTTTATATCCGCTTTTTTGTTTTAGTGCTAAGCTCCGTTGTGCAAGAGTTTGATTGTTGTAAGAAGTCTATTTCCGTCTGATGCTGGTTTGTGGTTACGGTCGATGTTCGTTAATTGAACATGATCTACGTGTTCAAACCAATTTGTGCGTGGCCTGAATTCGCGAGTTGTTCATTGCAAATCAATACCGAACGTCTTTGCTGTGCAACCCCAATTGATAAGTTGTTGTATCTCTGAGGTTTGGAGTTCCAATACCCATGGTTAATGATATATTTAAAGCTTAAGCGTAATTGTCTGGCTGTCTTTCTATTCTGGCGCCCGCTTCATCTGCGACTCTGCTGGCATGGATTCCATTGTCAAACATTGAAGTATATGTGTATATTTGATTCCTATGGACGACGCGAACGTAATGCTATACTTCTCTGGTTATCAATAGCGGTACCTAGTAAATAACAACATGTGGCTGACGGTCTACGCTTGGATCCACGCCTGGATAGTATGCCTTTTCTAGTACAGTCGACCTTCCTATGTACTAGGACGTGAGCGTGTGGTTCAGCAGCCAGCTAGCTTATATACGTATATGAGTCATACGGGTCAGGATGTCCTTCTCGCCGTATACATTATATTTCACACCCGAATGTATAGTACCAGTTCCATTTCGATACAGTGAGCTTCAAATAAGTCGCACCCATATTGCTAGTTCGAGTCACTCATCTGTTATTTCGTCCTTCTCTTTCACCTGCAGCAATGGATCCATCTGTCTGGATATTCTAAGAGATCAATGGAGTCCCGCCCTTACTGTGTCGAAGGTGTTACTGTCTATATGCTCCTTGTTGACAGATGCGAACCCCGATGACCCTCTAGTACCCGAGATTGCGCACACCTACAAACAAGACCGAACTAAATACAACGCCACAGCTAGAGAATGGACCCGTAAATATGCTATGTATGTTATTTTGATTTATTTTCATGTGGGATGGGCGCTTGTGCGTTCTTTTTGTGTATAACCGAGGATATAGTTCTACGTTATGTGCTATTTTTGATATCGAAGTCTTTTGTACTGCACTGCCTGTTTTCTGCCCCTGCCGTGTTTTCTGTCTATACTTCTTGAATTGGCAAGCAAGCGTTTTGGGGGGGGGCTTAGATACAACGCCACATCTAGAGGCTAGTCCCGTAAAATGCCATGTATATAATCCTTTTATGTTCTATTATCGGGTGGGATGGGCGCCTGTGCGTTGTCATGTATATAGTTCTACGTCGTCGTTCATTTTTGGTATTGAAGTCTGATGTTGTCTGCATTACGCCCCTGTGTTGCCCTGTCTATGTTTATTGAATAGGTAAGCAAGTATTTTTTTTAGGGCCATCAGGTTGTCACGTGGTCTGCCTACCTTACCTCCTCTTAATTGTCTTTCTGTTTTGATCCTTGTCTAATCACGTGTTGGTATGAACACCCTGGTGACGCGACGGTCCATATAACATTTGCGGTGGTGTTTATATCACCAGTAGTGTCCTGTTTGACTACACCTTGTTCTCGGAAGATTCATCCGTAGTGTTGTTTCATATATTTGATACCATGCCATATTGTTGCTTTGATCCTGGATCTTCGCAGAAGGTGTTGCGAACTAATGGGTAGCTCCGTTAATTTTGCACTGAATATACTGTTTCAGTTTGGTCTGAAGTTATAGCAGCCCACTTCATTTTCTTTTTTGTCCTGTTTCTCATGATTTACTTTCACGGCAGAAAATTAACTGTTCATCATGTAACATCTATACATCTCAGGGGCCAGTAAAAGCTTTAAACATACCACTGAGATAAGGTTCGCACACAAGTATGTACCGTGAGTCAACATGTCCGCATACATTCTCTCTGTGTGTGTACTGTCAATATGTAGATCGGGCCATGTGTCATGTCTGATTCAGTTTGTCGTTTCTTTCTATTTCTATATCGCACTTGAGTAAATATCCTGTCTCTGATGTTCTTCTGTTTTGATCACTACCTTTATTATAAACAGGGGCAACTAAGTGTGAAGCGAGGTCGTAGAGTTGCTCTTATGCTGATGTATGTGCAAAACCAAGCAAGGCCTGGGCGTGCAACAGAAGGGCCAAGCTATTCCGGATTGGTTCCGGGGGTGGTAATCACAGGCTAGGCTTCGATTACCCTACTGTAAAAAAAACTCTACGGATTAACGAATTGTCTTGCATAAATATAAGCACTTAGAAAATTGTGGCCTTTCATCTTATTTGTTAAGAATCTCGTTAGCATCTTACCATTCCCCCTTTTTCGAGTGTCACTGCAGTGTGAGGTATTGTAACTATTCTAAAGCATTTCAATGTTTTTGTATTTGTTCAGTTTTCATGAGTTTAGGCTTAATATATATTATATATAAATATGCAATCAATGTATAACATATGTATGAAGCCTTCTCATAACTTGCAGTTTAGGTAATTTTGAGATTTCAGTACTTTTGCAGCAGGTCTGTTGTAAATCCTGTCAAATTTAACTCGTCGGAAGCTGCTGTTCTATCACCGATAGATATCACACCTTGCCTTGCCAAACGGTGTTCTATACTACCGAGTTGGTCTGGTTGTTCACATTAACATATGCTTCAGTGTCAGAGTAGTGTTAACTGTCCTATATTGACTGATCATAACGGTTGCCCAGAATCACGAGTGAGACTAGAGGGACTACCAGAGCTCGATTTGTATGTTTAACAGCAGTGATCCAGGGCTTACATGGGTATATCTGTATGCATGCATTTAGCTGATGAAATTCATCCGCTACTGAAAGTTCACCAATCAAAGCTCCAACAACATCGACTTTAGGAGTGTTTTAGCCAAGAAGTACGCATACTCAATTATTTTAATTTGACTAGCCGATACAATATTGATCTATGATCGCTATCATAGGACAAAGGCGAGAGATATTATGGTCTTTTACAATTAAGTTATCTGTACCTTGTATGGGATCTACTGACCTTGGCTTCGTATTGAGTGTGTTTTTGTAATCATACTACAAAATTATCTTTCAGCCTTCGTCTCCATAGAAAAGCATATGCACGAAATCTTTTTCATGTGTACTACGTTTGAGGATCTGCAAGCGTGGACTACCAGGGAATTAATTACAACTAGGGATTTTGCTGCACCTACATGAACGACTCTGGGGGGATTTTTTACCGTTGCACGAACTAATAAACACACCGGTTGATCACTATTGACTACGCCTGCAATTATCGATTGGCATAGTAGCAAAGTAAACCACATTTGAAGAAAATCACAATAAAAGTAAATGTATCGTATATGGGCAACTTGATTCTCGCATTGTACAATGTGCAGCCCAGTACCTATATGCTACTCTCTAGGCGCGTCAAAGACTCGCCAACTCGGAAATTACTGAGAGCAATATGTGTAATGTTGTGTAGCTGTGTAGCAAAGTTAGCATTTCATACTTATTGGCTGTTTGATCTGCATCTCCAGCTGGGAAAATAATAAAAACAAGATGCGTTCAAAAATCCTGGAATGCACTGTTGATTGTAGTATATAAAATACCACAGGTGACTGTCTCACTGAGGTGAAGCTTCAAGCTAACAGCCGTCAGGACTCAGGAGTGGCCGCTACCGAGGTTTTCAAATTGGAACACCTAGATACTACACTCTGGTAGTACGTAGGTCGTAGTGAGGTCGTAGTGAGCACTGAGTATTGAGTAAGTTATATACGTACCACAGATACATACTTGGCAATAATTGGGGCACAGGAAATTATAAATACAAACACTCGCTCACTCACACACTGACAGTTGGTTAGTTGGCAGTACACCAGTACACCACACAATACATACTGATGTACTTGTTACTACACAACACAAGGGCGAGTGAAGAGAGAATAGCTCATGAATATTTACGTGACTCGCGAAGTGTCTGTTTTTTTTTCAAAATAAAAACAGTAAAAGTTGTGAACACATATTTTGATGAAAACAGTAAAGTAAAACTTCATAAATTTTTATATGCAAATGCAAAACCCAAGGAGCGGAGTAACTCTCAGTTTTTTTAATATATATCAAAAAAAAATGTAGATCACTTTCCAAATTTAAAATTCGACCGAAACAAATCAAACAATTGAATATTTTATAGTTGATGTTATTCCAGAAACACAGAACGCTTCGAAACGACTTAAAAAATTTAAAAAACTATTTCTATTTTGGGTATATTTCTATCGCAAATATTCTGTCACCACCCAACAGTCACGTCACCTGTCACCCCCGCCATCGAAATAGGGGTTTAAACTTTATATGTCAAATTTAGAACACCATTTTGGATTCCAGATTTCGAAAACATTGAAATCAGGGACTACACATAGGAGTTTGTGGAATCAATGCCCAACCCGAATTAAAAGACCTATTTAAGGATTGAAGACAGTAAAAGCTTCTGAAAGAATGTGGAATACTATGCAAAACCCAAACTTTTTCCAAAACAAACTTGTCACTCTATAATAAAAGCTTAAACCGTATATCGCAAACTATTGGCTATAACGCATACCGTAGTGTGCAATACGCGGTGCAGAACGAATTGAAATCAAGGATTCAAGAAACAGTCCAAATAAACAAGTCGAACTCATTTCTCCGCAACGGAATTAATCGGGAACTCCGATTTGGCAAGCCTCGTATTGCATTATTGTTTTACTAATTACATTACTCGTACTGGTTTTATTTTTTTAGCCATTTTATTAGAAAAAAGTTTAAAAGTCCCCGTTCAAGACTTCATAAGAGGCATGCATAGCCCATTAGCCCTCCTAAAAAAAGACAGGGAGGCTACATCGAAAAGTCCACAGAGTCCAAGACTCGAAAGTCGAAGGAGAAAGGACCAACTTCTGGCCCACAAGTGAGAAGTCCCGCCCCTAACCGCCTATTAAACCCCGTCCTGTGACTCTAGTACTCATTCTACTACTAGTAGAGTGTGAGAAAGTGAGTGCGTCAGTCGGGACTTGGGCCCGGGAGCCCTGGCCTAAATCATTGATGTGGATCAAAATGAGCTGGATGTGGCCTAAACTCAAACTGGGGGGGTCGGGGAAGAAGGAGCACCTACACTCTTGAGTCCTAACTCACTATCTCTGCTCTCCACTCTTCGCTCCCCTATAGGCTAAGGTTATAATCCCTGTGTTTTAAAATAGCATTTTATTAAATTAAAATAGAAACTACGTCAGAATTTCAATTTGAAAGTCCCTTGGGCCCTTGGCCCTCTCTTGTGGGGAGAGCGCAGAGAGCCAGAGAAGCAGAGACGCAGAGACGCAGAGACGATGAGTCGATGACCCCTGTTTGCAGTCGCGGTCCATTTGAACAATCTTTTATACTTTTTTTTTTCGGCTTTTTTTTTCATTCTTTTTTTCAAACATAATATATAAATATAAATAGCTCATAGGGCATAGGCCCATAAATAAGGCCATAGCTTTCCCCTAGCCATAGAGGGCATAGGATGATTCACGATATTTAGGGGACTTTGTAGCAGTAAATGAGTAAATACTTATTTTGTTTTTTGAAACAAAACAAATAGAGAGAAGAACGATTCCGTTTTTGAAAATAAATTTCGATAATAAAATCGTTCGGAAGCTTTTTACTATGCTAAAATCCTGAATCCATCGTAGTCTCATAGTGAATATTTGTAATTTTGTAATGAGTCGGGCTTTGGCCTATATGATAGTAGAAGTAAACGACTTTTTGTGAAAAGCCAAAAGGTATTCGCGTTCGCTTCTGGCAGGAGCAACACGTACTGTATTTGTTGAAAACTGTAGACTTCTTGTCTCTGTGTGAAGTTGTAGGACTGGGGCCCTGGGCTGCCACTGCTGCCAGCTCTACCTTCGACGATTATAAATAAAAATACAGATACAAACAAAGCTTTCTTGAAAATGGATAAAACACCATGTAATAGTTGGCGAAAACACACTCTCTACGAGAAATTCGCATTGTATTTGATTTGATTGCTATAACTTGTTTGTGTAACGATCGTCGTAGAGAATCAGGCGAGATATAGTCTAAGGGAATAGTCAATTGTCAGGGCCAAGATCGTCTATGCTTACTTTCGAGTTGTAAGACTTTTCTTCACGCTATACATCACTGTATTTGTTACCAAGGCTGTCATCACGAGTCAGCTCAGACCTAATCACAAATTTCGCTAGAGTAGGTTGTGTGCTTTTTAAAAGCATACTCTACTCAATCAATTTCTAGCAAGATCGTGTATTCTACAATGACTCAGGGACTGGGGCTGGATCGAGGAGCCGGTGGCAATGTGTAAGTTGAACTGTTGATAGTATTTGATATTAATTTACGTTTCATTATTCCCAGTGGTATCCCTCTATCTAGTGCAAAGTTGCCTTGAGTTAGAAAGAATATTACTTGTAGCCGCCATCACAGGTATATTCCGGTAGTTTTACGGTCCCGATTGTTACATATCGGTTTGTTTTTCAGCCAAGCGGAACCCTAATACTTATCTATTCTTCTCCTTGTTCTGCACCTTGTTTGATATTGCTGCATTGAGAGTTTTTCTTCCGAACACTAATTCACATACACTTCCGATACCGTTATGAATAAACAGTGCCACTGGTGGCTTCCTGCGACATACGTTGGACTCGCTGCAGTCCCAATATAAGGATGTATCCGTAGATGCCTCGACAAATACGCAACGAGCGCCAGCACAGCCTCGCAACTATATGACTCCAGAGGAGGCTGTGGCCCGGTATGGTTCCCAGTTATCTCGACAGGAACTAGCTGAGATACACAAAGTGAAGCGTGTTTACTACTTGGGACAAAATGCAAACAAGTCAGCTCACTACCAAGGCTATGATGAGAGCAATGGAGACTATATCATCGTACTACACGACCACTTAAATTTTCGGTACGAGTTACTGGAAAGTCTTGGCAAGGGTTCATTTGGGCATGTTATGAAAGCCTACGATCACATGAATAAGCAGCTGGTTGCCGTTAAGATCATTCGAAATAAGAAGCGTTTCCACGCTCAGGCCTTGATCGAAGTTAAAGTATTAGAGCATCTGAAAAAGGAGGACTATCAGGTATGCAAGTTCAAAATGTATTCTTTTTTACAAGCACATTGTATTATCAGCCGTACTCATTCCTATACGTGGTTGCTCAGCAACGGTTGTGTATCTGCCTCTGTTTTTATTCTGGAGCGGGTCCTTGGACTAGCTGGCATTATGATGGGTGCAGGTCAAACACCGAACTTGGTTTACGTTTAACTAATTCAGCCACTTTTTTTTCCTTCGCAGAACTCGAACAATGTGGTGCACATTATCGACCACTTCTACGCACGCGATCACTTGTGCATCACTTTTGAACTACTGAGCCTGAATCTATACGAGCTGATTAAGGCCAACCGCTTTAAGGGTCTCTCTCTGAAGCTCATCATGAAGATCGGAACTCAGATTCTATCCTCCTTGTCGTTATTTGATCGACTGAATATCATACACTGTGATCTGAAGCCTGAGAATGTTTTGCTCAAGACATCGAAAACAGCCGATATCAAAGTGATTGATCTGGGTTCCTCTTGTTATTCTCAAGAAACCCTCTACTCGTATATACAATCCCGGTTCTATCGCTCGCCTGAAGTGATTCTGGGCCTACCATATGACACATCAATAGACATGTGGAGTTTCGGATGTATTCTGGCCGAGTTGTACACTGGATACCCCTTGTTCCCAGGCGAAAACGAGACGGAACAACTGGCTTATATCATGGAGGTTTACAACACGCCGCCCGAGCATCTCATTCACGAATCGACGAGGAGAGCGTCTTTCTTTGGTATGTGGCACGCACTCCACGAGTTTGAGGTTTCTTTTCTATGGGCTCGACCTAGAGATTTAATAGTAGCCGCCAATTTTTAAATATCATCGACTAAAGATTTATCCTTTGCCTTTACCTACAGAAGAGAACGGGACACCCAAGACTGTGCCCAACTCGAAGGGCAAGATACACTTCCCAAACTCCAAGTTGCTAAGCAACGTCATCAAGTGCAGAGATCAGAATTTCTTACATCTGCTCGACTGTTGCCTGACTTGGGATCCCAAAGAGCGCATCACACCCGACGATGCCATGAACCACCCCTTCTTCATCTCTCATCAGGATGCGGTGCCTCAGTCCATGTCGGCCACCCCCATATCAAGCTCACAGCACCAGTACACATCGCAGGATAGTGTCGGTGGAACCAATTCACGGGGAGGGGTAGGAGTGGTGCCCACCAATGCCCAGTCAGCCGCACAGACGATGATGCACGCGCGCCCTATGCGTGTAACGGATAAGGCGCCGCCCCAGAGTGTGCCTCGGTCGTACGCACAGCATCAACAGAGTCAACAGTACGGCTATCCGCAGCACAACACTGGCTTCACCGCTGTGTACTCGGATAGATTGCCAGCTACCCATAGGCCGCATGGATTCTAACGCTCGTAGTGGCTCTGCCAACGTTGGACCCAGCATACGTATTGTAGTGGTTCGATTTTCTATTGTTGAAGCATGCCCCTAGGAAAGGCACAGACGAGTAAGGGGCTCGCACACATTCGCGTTACAGCTGAGGTGGAATAAGCGAGGAGATGGTGGTCTGTAGCCAAACACTAGTTAGATGAACACCAGTATGCATATATCAGGGGCTCGAAGTAGTTGTAGAATAAGCTGCCAGCAGCGCACACCCTTCACGATACTATGCCCCTCATTCGGCGCTCGCATTATCTGCTATACTCAGTATATGTACATATTTTAACACGATTTAACGCAAGGCTCGCATACGGTGGTGAAACATCGGTGACGTGGGCTTTGCATAGCACGTACTTACTTCAATCCTGACCGAATGCTACGGGATTGAAGGCGTTTAATCCTCATAAGCGCATTAATTTAGTAGGCTGTGAATAGAGGAGCACGTCAGTGCAACATATCTTGCGGCCAAATCAAGTCGTCTACCAGAACATAGAACGCTTGACCGATGTTTAGACGTCGGAGCGTGACCTATCTGACAGGCGCAATTTAAATAGGATAATCTTGTAGTCATGGATGACCGCAATCCATTTTTAATGCTTTCAAAGGGAGACTTCCTGAAACCTGAGAATAAATGATTGATATTATTTTCCGTGTGTTCAATGTATCTACATTCTTTTTTTGGTTTCAATGACTGCACGTATCGCCCGTGAACTTTATTTTTGCGCTATAGATTAAATAGGTTCTCTTTTCGGTTTTGAGGCACTTGCTACAATCTGTTCCGCGAAACAGACATAACTGACACAAAATTATGTTTTAGGGACTAAAAAATCTGAATGATACATACTCGACTATTTTTTTTTAAACAAAAGTGCACGAAGGATAGGAATAAAGTAATGGTGTAGTACCACTCGCGCTCGAAAGACTGCTAGAAGCCGAAAAATAAAAGTAGAGCTGAAGTATTTACGACATAGACTTTATTCAAGTAACAGTGGAATAATAGTACTCGCATGATATAGAGACTAATTAAGTACTAACCATGCGAATAATGGTACATGCATGGCAAGAGACTATATGTACTAACCATGCGATAATGTACCGTATAGCGTTAGCTTTTATGTACATACACCTCACGGTACAGTATGGTGGAGGTTAAAGATGCATGGTGGATGAGAAATTATCTTTGGACCATGAAAACCATAGTGGCTCTTTCACGGAATTTAGAATCCTTGAATGAAAAGGCCCGATATCCCGAATGACGAGAAAAGTATCAGATTATTTTTGTAGTGATCACAGAATTTGTGTGAGCGGGAGCTCAATTCAACCACCAGAAAAAAAGCAGAGCTGTTTGCCCTTCAATATCCATATAATTACAACCTTTCCAGAGGAGGCAGGGCTCGCGCATACACAATACGGCAAAGCAGCGAGGAAAAACGATATGATGTGAGTTTGTCGAGACACAAAACCTTAGTCATTCGCGAAATAAACAACTCTACATCAGGTAACAAATATAATGTAGAAATACTTTCATACTTGCACATAAATACATAAATAACTATATATACTTATATATATAT